TCACACAAACACTCCATCCATGCTTTTGTTCCGGCCTCCGGTCCAGTTTAAGAACCCATGGTGGCCCTCGAGTCAAAAAGTTTGCCCATCCCTGGGACAGAGCATCGGCCTGCGGACTGAAGGGTCCCAGGTTCGGTTCCGGCCTAGGGCATGTGCCTTGGTTGCGGGCACATCCCCAGTAGGAGGTGTGCAGGAGGCGGCTGATCGATGTTTCTCTCTCATCGATGTTTCTAACTCTCTATCCCTCTCCCTTCCTCTCTGTGAAAAATCAATAAAATATATTAAAAAAAAGAAAAGTCAGGGCCGGGGCTCATGAGTAAAGAGCCCGCCAGGCAGCCCAGGAGCCCTGGGCAATGAATGAAAGATGGCCGGTGGCACGCGTCCCCGGGATGTGCGAGGGCCTGCGTCTACACGCCGAGCAGCAGACAAGGATGTGCCCTGGGTCACAGACGCCCCTCAAGGCACCCAAAGAGCTCGGGCAGGAGGTGGAGCGCACCTGTGGCTCAGGGCGAGGAGGCCGCGGAGGAGGAAGAGCGCGCGGGGCGGAAAGGGCTTGGCTCGCTTTAAACTCGAGCTCCGCCTGCAGCTCAGAGCGGAGGTCTGTGCTGAAGATCAGAGTCTGGGTAGAGGCTGCGAGGCTGGGAGGCAGGCATCAATCGTATCTTTCATTTCCCAGGACCCGAGGGAGGAACAAGGCCGAAGGGGCAGCCGGTCAGGCCAGGGGACCGAGAAGGCACGCGGGCGTGGCCAGCAGGCTCCCGGGACTGTGTGCAGAGGCGGCGAGGAGAAACGGTCACTCCACGGAGCGGAACGAGATGGGAAACGGTGTCCTAAGGGCGTGAGTGGCGGCACTGGGCCAGGCCGCAGGCCACCGGCCACCCGTGGAAGGGACAGGCCTCTGGTGTCGCCTCCTGACTCCACGCCGGTCCGGGGGGCGTGAGAGATGCTGCCAGGCCCCGGGTCAGCGCCAGGCCCGTGGATGGCGGCGCGTGGACCCCACGGGTGAGCGTGGGCAGCGAGGACGCCAGGTGACGGGCAGGGGAAGAGGGACGCAGAGTGTGGTTTCCACACCTTCACTCTGGTCCTGACTCCAGAGGGGGACGCTCACTGCCCAGCGGGGCCCGTGGAGACAGCCCTGGGGCGAATCTGTCACCCACGATGGAGACGAAGCTCTGCAGCCACCGCAGGCCAGCACAGGCCAGCTGAATGCAAATAAACTCCCCTGTCACCCCAAGGGCTTTAAACACGTCGCCACGACCCTTAGCAACCCAGGGAGACACGCACCTGCCTGACGTCCACCCGGCTCACCAGTGAGCAGCGGGGAGCGGAGGCTGTGAACGACAGGGGCTGGGCTGGTCCCCGGCTCGCTCGGAGCTGGTCAGCGCCGGCCTCCTGGTCGCCAGCGTCTCCTCCTGTAAGACAAGGGCCCGCACGGGCGGCCCCTGGAGGGCTCTTGCCAGGGTGGCCTGAGGGAGGTGTGTTACATCAATACACCTGAGCCATTATTATTATTTTAAATATATCTTTATTGATTCCGAGAGGAAAGGAGAGGGAGAGAGAGAGAAACATCAATGATGAGAGAGGATCATGGCTCGGCTGCCTCCCGCACCCCCGGCATGTGCCCCGACCGGGAATCGAACCGTCACCTCCCGGTTCTTGGGTTGATGCTCAACCACCGAGCCACGCCGGCCGGGCTTAAGAACAAACCACAAAGTGAGATTCACTCTGTGTTTAAGCCTCTTTGCTGGCCTCCAGCCCTGAGGTCCTGGCTTTCAAGCGTGAGCTCATGTTCCTTTGACCACTCATCCGAGAGGAGAGCTGTGTCCGCTTCCCGCCGCCTCACTGGGAGAACGCAGCTCAGGGGGAGGCCGTGGGCGGGCGTGGACGCTGGTCTTTGTCTGGTCATCGAGTGATGTGAGCCTGGAAACATCCTGTCTGAGCGTTCTGGTGGGCACACTCTCCACCCATCAGCACGGCCCAGGCCCTCTCAGGGGGAGGGGGACGGAGTGTCACGCGGGCTCCGCTCAGACCAGCGGAAGCCTCCGCGGCCACACCGCGTGACACTGGCGAGCGTTTCCTGGCATCGGAACCGGCCTGCCCCCAGGCGTTCACCACGGGCTCGGGCAGACAGCTGTCGCCCCCGCACGGCCTGCGTGGCCTGGAGGTGACGCCCACGGCGCTGGAGGAGCGGCCCGCTGCAGGGGCAGGAGCTGACGCTGGCCTCGGAAGACGCCATCACCCGAGCGACCGAGCGTTTGTGAAACGCCCATGTACGCAGAGGTGGGTGTTACCTGACGGCAAATGGTCCCTCTGCGTCTTCAAGGCAGTGCGCCTCGCGAGCACGCGTGGGGACGGCACGAGGCCGGGCTGCGCGGGATCGAACTCGGGAGCCAGCGGGACGGGGTGAGTCCGTCCTCCTTTGCCGGTGGGCAGAGGTGGGGGTAGGAGACCTGCCCGGGATCCTCCCAAGATCGGTGAGGACGGGGGCCCTGGACAGAGAGTGCACAGGCTTCCTCTGTGGAGCCAGAGGCACAGAGAGCACGTGGGGGGCCCACGGCCCAGGATCCGTCTCCTTCCGGAGTCTTGTCCCTTGGAGGAGCCCGTCCTTCCGCTGGGAAAGGAAGCAGGGCCTGGCCGGGCAGGACCACTGAACGCGGCGTGTCAGCGAGGGCTCCACGGAGAGAGAACCAGCTGGGCAGAGGATGGATAGAGGATGACAGAGACAGAAATACAGGCGATAGATGATAGATGCATAGATAGAGATAGAGATAGAGACAGAGATACAGACAGAGATAGAGATAGAGATAAATAATAGATAGAGATAGATAGATGGATGACACATAGATATAGACAGATATAGATAATAGATAGATATAGGTAGATGGTAGATATAGATACATAGACATATAGAGATAGATACATAGGTTATAGATGATAGGTACATATAGATACAGATATAGAGATAGAGATAGAGATAAATAATAGAGAGAGATAGATAAATGGATGATACATAGATATACAGATATAGATAATAGATATAGGTAGATGATAGATATAGATATGTAGATATATAGAGATAGATACATAGGTTATAGATGATAGGTACATAGATGATAGACAGATATAGATAGATGGATAATAGATAGATAGATACCTGGATAGGTAGATCCACAGACACAGGGATGGACTGAAGGGTTATGCCATCATTGGGCCCGAACCCTGTAGGGCAGGCCATGAGGAGGGGAGGCCGTGGGGAGGGGAGGCCATGGGGAGGGGAGGCCGTGGGGAGGGGAGGCCGTGAGGAGGGCAGGCCGTGGGGAGGGGAGGCTGTGAGGAGGGGAGGCCGCGGGGAGGGCAGGCCGTGGGGAGGGGAGGCCGCGAGGAGGGGAGGCCACGCGGAGGGGAGGCCGCGGGGAGGGGAGGCCGTGGGGGGGGGAGGCTGCAAGGAGGGGAGGCTGCGCAAGGGGAGGCCGCGAGGAGGGGAGGCCGCGGGGAGGGGAGGCTAGAGTGCCCACAGGTGGGGTGTCTTCTTCCTCAGGGAATCTCAGCTCCCCCCTAGAGCCTTTGTGCTGATTGGATGGGCCCCGGTACTGGGACGATGGCTCTGGACAACGCCCACTGAGTGTGTACGTGGCTCACAGTCACCAGCACCTTCACGCGGATGCCTAGGTGAACCTCGCACAGCCGGGACCAGTACCCGCCAAGTTCACACGCGACACTGACTGTCACATCTGGTCTGGCCAGAAAGTTGCTCAGATCCTATCAGAACAGCATCTGTGCCCCAAGCTGCCCATGTACAGCCTGGCACCCCCAGGGGGCCAGCGTCTCGGATGTTTTTCTCCTCCTGGTTCCTCAGCCACAAAGGTCAAGCAGCTGACACGCCTGAGGGCTTTTCTGGGACGGCTGCTCCACGATCCTCCTCCAGCCCCACGCTGTCCAGCCTCCGCCCCGGCATCGGCCCTGCTGCGGGAGGGCGCCGCGACTGAACTCCGACTGGCTGTTGTTGAATTCCTCCTTAATGTTGACACTAGGCGACTTGTCAAGTCTATGTGCTTTTCCCTCTCTCTACATTTTTTATTTTATTGTGTTGAATGCTTACCAGGAAGTTAGAATTCACCAGCTGATGTCCTGATATATTCCCCACTTTACACAATGTTATCATTTCATTTAGCCGCTGTTAAAACTGTATATAAACCCATCAGCAGGTGAGTGGATTAAAAAGCTGTGGTACATCTACACAATGGAACACTACGCTGCGGTAAAAAAGAAGGAACTCTTACCATTTGCAACAGCGTGGATGGAGCCGGAGAGCATTATGCTAAGCTAAATAAGCCAGTCGGAGAAAGATAAATACCACATGATCTCATGCATTTGTGGAATATAATGAACAACATAAACTGATAAACAAAAATAGATCTAGAGACAGAGACGCATCGAACAGACCGTCAAACCTCAGAGGGAAGGCAGGGGAGGGTGGGGGTAAAGGGGAGAGATCAACCGAAGGACTTGCATGCATATAAGCATAACCCACGGACACAGACACCAGGGGGTGAGGGCATGTGCTGGGGGTGGGAACAGCCAGGGAGAGGTCAGTGGGGGGGAGGGGGGAAGGAGACATATGTAATACTTTAAACAATAAAGAATTTAAATTTTAAAAAAATTGTATATATAGTGCCAGGCCGGTGTGGATCAGTGGTTAAGTATCGACCCATGAACCAGGAGGTCACGGTTTGATCCCCGGTAGGGGGCGTGCAGGAGGCAGCCGATCAATGATTGTCTCTCATCATTTTTGTTGTTGTTGTTGATCCTCACCCAAAGATATTTTTCCATTGATTTTTTAGAGAGAGTGGAAGAGAGAGGGAAAGACAGAGAGAAACATCAATGTGAGAGAAACGCATCGATTGGTTGCCTCCTGCATGAGTCCCAACCAGGACCTGGGCCAGTGAGGAACCTGGTACGTGCCCTTGACCAGAATCGAACCTGGGACCCTTTGGTCTGCCGGCTGACGCTCTATCCTGAGTCAAACCGGCTAGGGTCTCTCTCATCATTGATGTTCCTATCTCTCTCTCCCTTCCTCTCTGAAATCAATAATATATATATTTAAAATTGTGTGTATTAAAACACACGGGGGTGAGAGGGAGACAGCGACAGAGGCGGAGAGGCCCCCGCGGCAGCCTTTCCTCCCGCCCAGAAAGCAGATCCGTGTGCGGGGCCATGTGACGTTTGGAGCCGCGGGACAGGCGGTGCTTGTGAACTGTATCCCGCAGCCCAGACTCCGGCTCGCTGGCCAGATGAATACTCACCACCCTGTGCGCCACCCCTGGGCACTGGCTTTTAATGGGTGTCAAAGGGGCCTGTAATGGCCCAGGCGTGAGAGCTAATTGAGCACAATTTACTCGAAGTGATGCCCCCCTCGAGGGATTTGGTGATGTGAATTCTAACTCCCGGAGAGTCTCTCGCTGTTGATCCCAAGTCCCAGCGCTGAGTACTGACCCTGCTGACTGCAGCAGGAACAGGTAGGCTGGGGGACGCTGGGGGAATCTTTTGCCAAATTATCAAAATATTTGCATAAAGTCACCCCATTTCCCATGCTCTTCCCTAAGGAATAATGGGTTTATACTGTGATGTTCTGTAAGAATAGACTATAAAAAACCGAACTGGAGGAATTAGAAAGAACTCAAGTATATTTTCTGCTCTATCTATCTATCTATCTATCTATTTATCTATCATCTATCTATCTACCTACCTATCATATCTATTTCTATCTATCACCTATCTATTTCTCTATCACCTACCTACCTACCTACCTGTCATCGATACCTGTTTTTCCTAGCTCTGTCCACGAAGGGCCAAAAGCAATGACACTCAGCAGCAATGAGCACACCTCAGGCCAAGATCTTGATTCTCAGAATAGTTTCTCCTCAAAAGGAAGAAGCCCTTGACAAAGAAAATCTTTCCGGAACTGGGACCTGGGAAATGCCAGGCGTGTCCAGAGCATCTTTCTGTCCAGGAAGGTAAGCAATGATGAAGAAAGAGGAAGGCCTTGCCAAAGGGTCCAGAGCCGGATGCGAGGGGCCCGCTGCCACGGTTGAGAACAGCCCGAGACTCAAGGCCAAGGCCGCTGACAAAGATAACCTGTCGGGGAGAAAAGAACCCATGAGTCCACGCCAATGCGAATGAATGAAAGAGTGAGTGAATGAATGAATGAACGGGAGAATGGAAGAATAGTTCCTACTTCCCAAAGGACACTAATCATGAAGTGCGTGTAGGAGGAGTGGTTCCAGCTTAAAGGGATAATGCTGTTATTCCTCAGAAAACCACCACTGGGCAATGATTGTAGGAATAACGGATTTCGGCAGCCAGCATCAGGGGCTGAAGCTAGTGGGTAAAATATTTTTGAGGAACAAAATATTTACAGTCTCAAAGTACCTCCCTCCCCTCCCCCCGAATAGCTATTTTTTAAAAGATATTTTTACTGATTTCAGAGAGGAAGGGAGAGGGAGAGAGAGAAAGATCAATGATGAGAGAGAATTATTGATCGGCTGCCTCCTGCACGCCCCCTACTGGGGATTGAGCCTGTAACCTGGGAATGTGCCCTTGGCCGGAATTGAACCTGGTACCCTTCAGTCTGCAGGCCGACGCTCTATCCACTGAGCCAAACCGGGTAGCCCCTCCCCCCCCACTCTGATAGGTATTGGTTACAAAGGGAGGGCAGTGCCAATCCAGTGGCAGAAGCGTTCAGCACACACCCCGGTCCATGCCAGGTCCACAACACCTTCAGGACAACCTGAGCTCAGGTGCCCGGTACCCGCAGGGAGAACGTACCCTGCGTCTGTGTGTGCCGCCCAAAGCCGACGACGCGGAACAAGTCATGAAGGAACAGCAGGAGGATTCACCCGGGACGTTCTAGCAAATGCCTTTTCGTTTCCTTAAAAATGGTCCTGCAATAGAAAGCCGCAGGAATGAGGTGGAGGAGTCGAGCAGCACGGCCACCCGGGGCCGGCACGGGGCTGTGGCCAGCTTCTCTCGTGACATGAGGACTCGTCACGACCACGTGGAATGGGAACGAGGTGGGGTGGCCATGAGGCCCGGGGGTCCTGACGGCCGTACGTGGGCTGACCTCCCAGGAGGCCGTGGCTCAGTGTTTAGGAAACACGCTGACGTAGTGAGGGGCAAGCGCAAGGCTGACTCTCGCCCGGCACCGGCTCTCACCCGCCCGAGGGCGGACGTGGCAAACACGGCCCTGCGCGCAGCCCGGCCTCTCCTCCTGTTTGCTTTCGCCCGTGTTCACGCTCCCCGGGCATCTGCGAGCGGGGCCCACCCAGCCCGGCCCCGCGTGTCCATGGAGACGGGAGGTCCGGCCCCCGCGGCTCGGGGGAGCCAGGTGCGACGGTCCCCCGCCCGGGAGCTGAGTCAGCAGGTCAGTGGCTCCCGCAGGGACCCTCCTGGCGGCTAATGGCTGTCCCTTCACGTGCTGAGCCCAGGTGCGCTCAGCAAACATTCACCCGGGCGTCGCGAGCATAAGCCATCGCCACGTGATTAATTTGTCATCTTGGCAGGGGGCGCTTTTACATCACCAACCAATGTGTGGGAGGCCCTTCGACTGTCCGTGTGTGTGTGCGTGTGCGTGCGTGTGTGCGTGCACGTGTGTGTGTGTGCTTGCGTGTTGAAAATGTGTCTTCCCAAACTGTCCACATGCAGCACGTCGCCTTGGACCAGGTTCCAGGAGCGTCCATGCAGTTCGCGCACCTTCTGCTCCTGCCCCGACTACAGCGACGTGCGCGCTGGCCTCTTACCTGCTGACGTGGTTCAGACGCCTCTCGTCCACGTTGAAGGCCCGAGTCCTCAACGGAGGTCATTTTTTAGAGATGTGTAAACTGATGTTCTGAGAGAGAGGAAGGGAGAGGGAGAGAGAAACACTGATGTGAGAGTTGAACATCGATCGATTGGCCGCCTCCTGCACGCCCCCTGCTGGGGATCGAGCCCCCAACTCGGACACGTGCCCTGACTGGGGATGGAACTGGCGACCTTCCAGTGCCTGGGACCACGCCCAACCCACGGAGCCACACCGGCCGGGTTTGGTTTTGTTTCTATATTTTCCTAAGACCTTGGAGCGTGGCCCCGCGGGGAGGAAGCTCGGACGGCGAGGTGCGCTCTGCCTTTCATTTGCCGTGAATTTGGAAGTCGCTCAAGGCCCTGCCCCGCGGGCTCCTCCTCTGTGACGTCATAACCACACTGCCCCGTGGGGTTGGCTGGAGAGTCGACCCCACAAACGCGAAGATGTCTCTGGGAGCCACGAAGCATTCCAGGATCGTCCGCGTGGTTGTACTGACCCATCACCCTCACTGAGTCTCAGAGCTTGGCGCCCACGTGCACAGCAGCCCATCCAGGAATAACAGATCTGATTCTCCCTCCCTCCCTCCCTCCCCCTCCCCCTCTTCCTCCCTCCATCCTGCCCTCCCTCCCTCTCTCCCTCGCTCCTCCCTCTTCTTCCGCTCTCCTTCGCTGGAACAGTCACCGGTGCCAGCTCTGTCCCGGCGCCCGCAGGGCTCTGAGGATCAGCTGCTGCACTAGGTACCCACGCTCTGTCTCACGCCACTCACGGCGGAGCGGGCCGACAACACTTCACAGAATCACTGGAATTTGCCCTCCAACGGCTGGGAGCTTTGGCTCCTGGTCACAGCCCTGCCCACCCGCCCCGCACCGGCCCTCTCCCCTGCACATGACTCCCTCCCCATCCCTGGGCCCGGATTAAAACGAGGCCAGGACGGGCCCAGGCCGCAGAGAGCGCCCGGGGTGTGAGGCGGGCCCCTTGGTCTCCCGGCCTTCCCTTGCTCCTCTCCCCGAGGCCTGAGGCAGAGGCAGGTGCCAGGCCTGTGCTCCAGGCGGAGCGGGTGCCAGGTGCGGAGGGCGTGGCCTCTCCTTCGTTGCCGGGCAGGGCCGCAGTGAGATCATCGGTGCAGGACTCCTGGCCCGGGAGGTGCTGGGGGCAGTCGGCTCCTATGCGTGTGTTTATCCAGCAAATAGTGGGCGCTCGCCCTGTGCCAGGCACCGGGAGCGCGGCGGCCAGCAAGACAGATTGCCGGCTCCACGGAGCGAGCAGACAGTGAACAAACAGGCCGGGAGACTTCAGATAGTGCGTCCTGCCGGGGAGCTGGGCGCAGGTGGGGGCGGGGGGATGGGGGCGGAGAGGTCCGCGTCTGCTGCACCTGCCCACGTGCGGGCACCCAGTCCCTGGGAAGGTGCCAGCTGAGCAAAGCCTCGCCCTCCCCGCTGCCCACTCTGACAATCCCAGAAGCCCATGCAGCCCTCCGCTGCTTACAAAGTGCCGGTGAGCACTAAGGAGTCATGTGCACGGGAGAGGGCCGGTGAGGGGCTGGGAGGGCAGGGCTGGGGGGACAGGGCTGGGAGGACAGGCTGAGGGAGATGCCGCAGTACCTGCCGGTGCTGGCACAGCGCCTGGTGGAGGACGTCCGTCGCCTCTTTTCGGAGCGCGCCAGGCATCCTGTGAGAGGTGCCGTCACATTCAGTTACCGCTGGGCTTGCTTGGCAACGCGTCCACTCCTGGCAGCGTATGGAGAAACCGCTTTTGCAAACTGGATGGCAGGTGGGCGGTTTAGTTCTTGGGAAAGCGACTTCCAGTGCCAGGAACGGGGCGCAGCAGGTTCCCACTGAATCGGGGCGCAGACTGAGAGGCCCCGGGGCGCCCGGGCCTGGGAGAGGCCGGCTCGTGGCGAAGAGGGTGCCCTTGGCACAGAGGCAGCGGTGCAGGGGGATCCCGGCAGCAGCTTGCAGAGTCCCCGCTTCCCTGAGCTGGCGGCTAGATGCTGCCTCCTGCAGGAATCCATGCCTGCCCGCCCCCGCCCCCAAACCCTGTGCCTGCCCGCAAGGCCCCGAGAAGGCCCGTGACGTGGTGCAGGGGGCTGTGTGGCCAACCCACTGGGCCGTGCAGGGTGAGCCAGATCGGCACTCTGGCCTCTGGTGTTCGCTCTGAGCGGGAGGCGAGGGCTGTGCCCGCTGCCCTAGGACACCCCTCCGTGCTCAGGGCGGTGGGCGGGGGTGGGGCTGAGCCGGGAGAGGGGTCTTACCTGGCAGAGGCAGCGGTGCAAGGGGTGGGAGGGCTCTGACTCGGTTTTCATAGCCCAAGGTTGCAGCCAGTCCCGGGACAGGGAGCTCCCTAGGGGAGACTTGGAGGGGCCAAGGGGGGGGGGGGGGGAGGCAGCAGCCCTGAGCCGGCTCATCGGAGTGGCACCGCACGGCTGGCTGGCTGCCATTCTGGGCTTGGGGACTGTCCGGTCTGTCTTTTTAAAAAATATAATTTTACTGATTTCAGAGAGGGAGAGGGAGAGAGAGAGAAACATCATGGATCGGCTGCCTCCTGCACGCCCAGCTCTGGGGATGGAGCCCGCAATCTGGGATGTGCCCTGACCGGGAACGGAACCGTGACCTGGTTCCTAGGCTGACACTCAACCACGGAGCCACGCCGCCGGGCTCAGGTGACTTCCGCGGAGCAAACTCTCTAGAGCTGGAAAATCCTTACACGGAGCAGACCTTCTCTCCCCGCATTCAGAGCAGGAGGGAGTGGTCTGGAGGGGGGGTTCTCAAAGTGGGGTTCACCTGGGAACCTGCTGAACTACAAATTCTCAGGCCTCTAACCCCTTCCCACCTTCCCTCCTACCCCAGGAGGCTGACCGTGACGGATGGCGTCCAGGCGCCCTGCCCTTCGGCACTCACCCCCACGGGGCCCTCGCTGCCCATTGACCCGGGTTGTAGGTGAGGAAGCTCACAGGTCACTGTGTCCGTCACGGGGCCAGGGGAACGTGTTACCATGTGTCTCGCCCGCACCCCCTGCCGTGTGCCCCTCGCCAGCGCCGGTCGTGAGGTGAGGTCAGAGCCATGTCTGAGAGAAGCTGGAGGTCCCCGACCCGGTCAGCGGCAGCCAACGTTGGAACAGCCGTTCTGATGGGACTGGTCAGGCCAGAGGCCGCCCCTCACGGGCAGGAGCCGCGGGAAAGGGCCGGGCGGACAGCGCGCTCCGGGGAAGTCAGATGCCAGGCCTCGGAGCCAGCTGGAATCGGGAGCCAGGCCGGGGAGCCTCGGGCCCTGGGGCCAGGGTCGGGCCAGGGGCACACGGACACTCTCTGCCCAGAGCCGCCCTCCCAGGCCGGCTGGATCCCAGCCGCGACTGCCCATGGCTACTTCGTGATGGTCCAATGGCACTTGTTTGTGAAGAAAACTTGGGAAAAGCCAGGAAATGAGAACAGAACCCTCCCCGTGAGGGCGACCACGTGTGCCCGGAGCCCGTGCCCGGGAAATCTCCATCGTGGAGGGTGTTCCCATGTGGCGTCTGATGGGAACCCACCTGGGGACCCGCCCTGGTGCTGCTGCCAGGTGGCCCCTGGGGACCCTGAGAGGAACAGGGGGGACCCGAGAAGAGGGGGGACCCCGAGGGGAGCAGGGGGACCCCGAGGAACAGGAGGGACCCAGAGGAACACGGGGGACCCAGAGGAACAGGAGGGACCCAGAGGAACACGGGGGACCCAGAGGAACAGGGGGGACCCAGAGGAACAGGAGGGACCCAGAGGAACAGGGGGGACCCAGAGGAACAGGGGGGACCCAGAGGAACACGGGGGACCCAGAAGAACAGGAGGGACCCAGAGGAACACGGGGGACCCAGAGGAACAGGGGGGACCCAGAGGAACAGGGGGGACCCGAGGGGGGACCCTGAGGGGAGCAGGAGGGACCCTCGCAAGTCAGGTTTTTCAGTGAGAGGACCGCAGTCTGCACTGCCCAGCAGGCCTCACCGTCTCATCGCCGTCTCCCTGGCGAGTCCCCCTGGGCAGCAAGTGGCCATGGCTCTGCCGCCCCTCCCAGGCCCTGCCCTTCTCCGGGCAGAGAGCTCGGCAGGCGGAGCTGGCGCAGAGCCAGTGCCAGGGCAGCTGGCCGGACCCCCGGCCACGGGAAGCCCAGCCCAGAGCCCAGGGGCCACGCTCGGTCCCCTAACAGGGCTTCTGTGGACCCTCCTGTGCCTGCCCTCGGCCAGGAAGCGTCCCGCCAGGCGTGCGGGGCTCCCCGGCAGCTGCATTGCCTCCCGTCCTCGCCCGGCCTCAGCAGTGGGCTCGCTGCTCAGCAGGCGGCCCGAGGAGCAGGGCGAGGAGCCACCACAGGACCCGGCCGTCCTCGCCGGACACCAGGTCACGGGCTGGCTGCACTGTGTCCTTGGGGGAGTCCCGGCTCTGGGGCTCCAGCCACAGGGTCCCCGCGTCCCTGTGCCCAGACCTGCGGACTCGGGCACATGGACCCCATGCGAGGGATGCCGTTCGCTGTAGGGGACCCTTTCTACCCGGGTACCCGGGGAACAAGGGGTGGACACTTCCTGTCTGTGACAACCATCAAAGTGCTTTGGGGCCCCGGCTGGTGTGGCTCAGTGGCTGGGTGTGCCCCATGCACCGAAACATGGCGTGGTTGACCGGCAGGCACGGGCCTGGGTGCAGGCTCGACCCTGGGAGGGGTGTGCAGGAGGCAGCCAGCCGGTGTGTTGCTCTCACATGGATGTTTCTCTCTCTCTCCCTCTCCATTTCTCTCTCTCTCTCTCTTGAAATCAATAAAAAATATTGGGGGGAAAAGAAAAGCGTCCGGCCTCAGTCTCCTGAGATGGGAATACTTCCTTCTTGGCGATGTTGCCCGCTGGGCTATGACGAGAGAGGAGCCAGATTTGGGGTTCACCAGCATGGGGTGCACCAGCTTTGTGCGCGCACACACACCTGTGGATGGAACACGTGAGTTTCTGCGGTTCTGGGGACAGGCTATCCAAGCCCACGGCGGCCGGAGCTCACGAAACCCACACCGCAGCTACGATTTCAGGAGCTTTTATTTGTGGCACCAGAGACACATTTTGGGGACAGTGCGGTTTAGGAGCCGTTGGCTGGACGCTCTCGCCGCCCGGGGAAGGTGAGGGAAGCCAGTCAGACGACGCGGAGCCGGTCCCGCGACTCTCAGGGCGTCTCACCACACACGCAGCTTCGCGCCACCCACTCTCCCCGTCTGCCCCTCACAGAGCTGCTTTCCTCGCGACAACAGTATATGGGGGTACACGTGAAAGACGCCCGCTGTGGTTGCACACCGTTATAAACACCGGGGCCCCGGCCGCCCTGCGAGGGGGCTGCGTGTGGTGCAGGGAGACGGGATCTGCTGGGCAAGGGACAGACCGCTCTGTCGTCACCAAGTATTAGCCGATCGGAGGCCATCTTGGCAACACGCAGCACCCGCTCCTGGCCCCGTGCAGGTCTCCAGGTCCGGGGAGGTCGCCGGGCTCCGTGCTCGGCCTCCCAGGGGAGGTCCCGGCTACGTCACAGCCCGTGGGGCCAGCTGCCGAGGGCACCCACGTGCACGCAGACGTCGTGCCGTCTCGGCCCCCCTCCACCTTCGCAGGACTTAGAGCCGCCATCTCAGCTCCGTACAAGGCTCTCCAGGCACCTCCGTCTTTACGACCTCAGCGGCCGGCCACCCTCCATGAGGTTTGCACCCCCGATGGCGGAGGCCTCAGACACGACCGCTTCCACACTCCCCAGAGTCCCCCGGGAGGCGGCCTTCCCACGCCTCCTCCTCCTCGTTCCGCCCAAACACGGAGCACCAGGCAGCTCGGGGCACTCAGGGTGCGGGAGGTTTGAAACCACTGGACGGCTTGGCCGCTGACGTGTGCGGTGAAGGCCTCAGCGGCCTCCGTGTGATCTGTTCCCAGTGCCCGTCGGTGTTCTAAGTAAGTGCCCTGTGGGCTCCCAGCAACCTGCCAACGGGAAGCGTTTATTGGCAACGAGAACTACTCAGAGGCAAACAGTACGTCCTTGGCACAGGCACCAGGCGGGCGGCGTCCTCCCTGGGAGCCACGCGCAGGGCCCGGGGCAGTGATGCGGGCTCGGCCGGCAGGCGGGCAGCACAGCACGTCCCGGGGCCCCTCGCTCGTGGCGGCCTGAGCGGCGACAGGGGCGTCTGGCAGCTGGGTTTCTGCCCCGGTCCGGGCTCACTGCCGGTTCACACGAGCAAGGGCACCTGCGGTGGAGAGAGAGCCGTTACTCAGGCCCGTGGAAGCCAAGGCCGCAGGCGTCAGGTGCCGAGGAGCGTGCGCAGGCCCGTCTTTCCAGGGTCCTCGCCCACCAGGCTGGCTCTAGTGGGTCCCCAACCCCTCAGGGCCGAGGAGGAAACCCAGACACAAATGCACTTAAACGCCTTCGGTGCCTCGCTGTGGCACTCGGGGGCGAAGGGGTGGAACCTGGGGGTCCCGAGGTGGTGTGTCTGCAGACCCCGCCCCTCGCCAGTGCTCCCAAGGGTTCCCCCCCCCCTCCTGGTTTCTCTGAGCCCCGTGGCCGTCCCCTCCCTGGGCCCGCCTCTGCCTGCGTATCTCTCTGTTGGAGACGCCCCTTTCCTGGTGGGAAACGACCAGTCCTTCTCCCAGAACAAGCAGGCGTAGCCTCTGGGGCAGGCGGTCCTGCTCCCCAACCTCGGCCGGCCACCCCATCACCTCTTCTGCCAAGCTCTCTGTCCCCCGCCTGGGGCTTGCCCCACCGGCCTGGCTCCCTCACCACCAGAGCAGGGGCTCCCGATGCAGGAACCGCGCTGGGCTCACCACTGGCCCGGGTGCCGAGTCAGTGTGGGCGGTGGCCACAGTGGACACAGGCTTGCGCGTCCCCACTGCACTGCCCCTGCCTGTGACTGCACTGCCAGGGAGAGCTCAGGCTCCTCCCGGCTCCGCCCGCATGGGGTGTGGCCCCAGCAGGAATGTTTTCAACAATAAAGATTAAACACATTTTTAAAAAATTAATTAATTGGGATAAAATGAAAGTAAGGGTAAAGGTTGAGAGCGTTCTCCAGCGAAGGGACAGGCGCACGTGCCTCTGTGTGGGAGGCACGGTGGGCTCCTGGCCGCGTTCACGGGCGTGAGCACCTTCTAACGCGTCCCGCGTTCAGTGCGTGGTCAGAGCGGACACCCAGGGACGCGACGGAGTTAACGCCAACCACCACCTGGAAATCTCCTGTGGGACCCCTCCCCCGAGAACACTCCAAGCCCCGGACAGGGCTCAGCTCCTCCAAACTCCAGCTCGGCCAAGGAGCAATGCGTTCCCGCATTATCACTGCGGGTGTGGCCTCCAGTGCAACGATGAAGTCTGGGTTCAGAGCGGGTGACTGGCCCCAGGTTTAAAAAAAACACACAGTGAGTAGCGACCAGCCGGTGTGGTTGAGCATCGGCCTATGAACCGGAAGGTCACGGTTCGATTCCGGTCAGGGCACAGGCCTGGGTTGCAGCCTCCATCCCCAGTAGCGGGTGTGCAGGAGGCAGCCGATCCATGATTCTCTCCATCACTGATGTTTCCAGCTCTCTCTCCCTCTCCCCTCCTCTCTGAGACCAATGAAAAACAAAAACAAAAATAACAAACAAATCAGTGAGTAGCCATCCCCGCCGGTCACACCCGAGGCAGGACGAGGCCCCGACCGCTGACCCGCTCGGCTCAACCTGCCTCTGTCTCCATGAGCGGACCAGCCTCCCGACCGCCTGGCTCCATCGGCCTCCCCACACCCGGCTGAGGAAGGGAGCACAGGATGAAGGGGGGCCTGGGGGTGCTGGGGGAGGGGGCTCGGCTCTGAACCTGGGGAGCACACCCCGTGAATGTCCAGGAAGGGCCTGGCGATGTGAGCCAAAGGCCCAGCCTGGGGTGGAGACAGCGCTGAGGGCCATCGCGCAGGGTGACGAAGGTCTGCCCAGGGAGTGAGCAGATTTGAAAGAGAAAAGGCCATAGGACTAACTCCAGGGGCTGCCGTGCAGGCGTGGGCCGAGGAGCAGGTGCCCAGAGGGGGCGCCGCTGCGACGTCCCTAAGAGATCCAGACCCCCAAGGGCCCCCCAAGCTGGGAACCACGCGTGGACGCAGCTTTAAAGAGCACGTTGGCTCCATTTGCAAAGAGCAGGCTCCGTGCATTTTCCTTCAAGCTCTGGACACCTGCAGAGGTCAGAGGCCGTCACACACACCAAGTGCACTCGCTGCGAACCCAGCAGACACCGCCAAGGCCCGGCCTGACTGGGACGGGCCACGGACCCAGGCTGTGGACCGCGCGTGTGTGTGACTCAGGTTCCACAGACACATTTTAGGCTCCTGCGCAGCCTGTCCCGGGCCCGCAGGGCGGGTGGCGGACTGCTCAGGGGTTAGTGGCTGACGCGCCCTCCCCTGCATCCCCAGGAGCTAGTCGGGCCGACCACCTCCCCCGTGAGGGCGTGCAGGGCCCTGCTGGACAGGGGGGTGCAGGACGCAGCCCCCCTCCCCCCCCGCCCTCACCCTGCTGCTGTCCCAGGGCCGGGCGCCCGCCTGCGGGTGGCGCATCCCTCCAGGTCCCCTTGCCCCCACGGCCCGGCTCACACGCAGCCCGCATCACCTTCCTCAGCCTGGCCGCCCCTGTGCCCGAGCGGATGGCGTCCATCAAGGCTTGCCTGGCGTCCACCGGGGTGCCGAGGGCGTTGGCGCTGGCCCTGGGTGCTGTCCTGGAGGCGGGAGGAGGAGCTGGGGCTGCCGGAGGGGGCGGGGGAGGCAGGGCGGGTGGGGGCTGGCTGCCAGGGTCTCCCAGGCCCGATGGTTCTGGCCCGTGCGCGGACCTCGCAGCCTCACGGAAGCTCCGGAGCTCCTCAGAGGCACAGGACGCCACCTGGGAAGAGAGGGTGAGAGGACACTGTGCCAGGCCCTTCCCGAGGGCGGCACCGGCTGCGTCTTCCCCCCAGAGTGCCGCTGGCCCGGAGCAGGGGCAGTCCTGCCCTCTGAGACCTGCTTGTCTGGCAGGGGCCAGACCCGGGGCCACGGTGCCAACCGGACCCACTGCTGGGAGGACCCCCGCCCCCCCCCGTCCCCACTCAGAGCTCATGCACCTGTCTCACTGGGGACCCTGGCTGTGGGAGCTGGGGACCCCCTCCTGCCCCTAAACTCAGGGCCACGCTGGCCCCTGAGGCTGGGTTAGGCCAGGCCAGGCTGCTGCCTCGGGGAGAACCAGGCCCTGGAGCCAGGCGGAACCCCTCCAGGAATCTGGGAAATGCCCAGTGCCGGGGGGGGGGGGGGGAGCACTTCCTGGGCCCTGGCCTCCCATGCAGTGACTGCCCTCCGCCTAGTCTGGGGTAATGGGGGGGCACCCACATCTGAAAGACCGAGGGTCGCCCTGAACTCTGCAGCCCCGCCGGGGCCTCACCTTGCGCAGGCTGCAGGCGCCGCGGTGCCCCCGGATGGCCGCCAGCAGGGCCGAGTGCTCGCTCTCCAGCTCCACGTAGCTTAGCTTCTTGGGCCCTCCCTCTGCGCTGGGCTCCGGCGTCTAGAACGGTCAGGTCAGCACACGTCACGCACAGATGGAGCAGTGGCAGCTGGAGGCAGCCCCCAGGTCACAGTCCCCGCCCGCAGGAGGCGGGGGTTCGCTCCCCACACTCTAAGCCAGTGGTCGGCGAACTCATCAGTCCACAGAGCCAAGTATCAACAGGACAACGATTGACATTTCTTTTGAGAGCCACATTTTTTAAACTTAAACTATATAGGTAGGTACATCATTACTAACTTAATTAGGGTCCTCCTAAGGCTTAGGAAGAGCCACACTCAAGGGGCCAAAGAGCCGCCTGTGGCTCGCGAGCCGCAGTTTGCCGAGCACGGCTCTCAGCCCATGCGGTCGGCACTGACCTGGTTGGAATAGTGACCACCATGCATGGGGGACCCCACATGCTGGCCCCTTGTCTCGGGCCCCTCCGGTCACTGCCGCTGGCTGTCCAGGGCTGCAGGCCTGGGTGGAGTCCCGGGTCCCACCAGCGCCGTGTGACCTGGGCCAGGTCCTGGGACACACCTGCCTCAGTTTCCCCTCTAAAGCCTGGAGGAGATGCTGGGTGCTCCCCTGGCTTGGCAGCCTCAGCGGTGCCCGTGAGAGCGACCTCCTGGGTCAGGCACTCACCTCGGACCCAGGAGGGACCGCCGTACACAGTGCAGCAGGGGAGGGAGGGAAGATGTGGGCTTACATGCCTGGGTGAGGGGAGGCGTGCCCTGAACATGCCCCTATCGTGTTTGTTAATTCTCACCCGAGGATATTTTCCTCTGATTTTAGATAGAGTTGAAGGGAGGGGGGGAGAGAGAGAGAGAGAGAAATACCAATATGTCTGAGAAAGACACCTCAATGGGCTGCCTCCTGCGCATGCCCCGACCGGGGCCGGGGTCAAACCCGTGACCCCTGGGTGTGCAGGCTGGAGCTCTAACCACTACGCCACCGGCCAAGGCAGAACGTCCTCCTGGTGTTGAGGAGTGTCAGGCAGGACCGGCCCTGGCCCGACTGTCCACTAACACCTCTGTTCGGGGAGCAGCTGTGTGACTGCCCTGCCTCCACTCCCGGACTCTTGGGGTGTCTTCCCAGGGCAGTCAGGGTCCTGAAGGGGTGCGGACAGGCCCCACCATCCACTTTATGTCTTTAGTGGTTCTGCTCAGATACTCCCTGTCCCTTGTTCATATCCCCCATGCACCCCCTGCACCCCTGAGCCTACAGGTGAGGAGGGAGGAGGCCCACAGGTGAGGAGGGGGGAGGCCCACAGGTGAGGGAGGAGGGAGGCCCACAGGTGAGGAGGGAGGAGGCCCACAGGTGAGGGAGGAGGCCCACAGGTGAGGAGGGAGGAGGCCCACAGGTGAGGGAGGAGGGAGGCCCACAGGTGAGGAGGGAGGAGGCCCACAGGTGAGGGAGGAGGGAGGCCAACAGGTGAGGGAGGAGGGAGGCCCACAGGTGAGGAGGGAGGAGGGAAGAGGCCCACAGGTGAGGAGGGAGGAGGCCCATAGGTGAGGAGGGAGGAGGCCCACAGGTGAGGAGGGAGGAGGCCCACAGGTGAGGGAGGGAGGCCCACAGTGAGGAGGGAGGAGGCCCACAGGTGAGGGAGGAGGGAGGCCCACAGGTGAGGAGGGAGGAGGCCCACAGGTGAGGGAGGGAGGCCCACAGTGAGGAGGAGGCACACAGGTGAGGGAGGAGGCCCACAGGTGAGGAGGGAGGAGGCACACAGGTGAGGGAGGAGGCCAGCCCCCCAGGCCTGCTGCTCACCTTCCGCAGCCTGTCCCTGCCACCTGCCGAGTGGATGGCCTCCATCAGGGCACTGTGCAGGGAGGTGTCCTTGGGCGCTGGCCTCTGGACCACGGGGCGGAACTTCTTCTTTGGCCCGAAGATGCTGGGGGGCGGCGACTCGTCGGCCTCGCGAATCTCTGTGCACAGCACCCCGGACCTCCCCTCCAGCTCGGGGACGGCGTGGCTGTCCCTGCTGGAGGCCCTCAGGGAGGCGGGGGGCTCGCCGTGCTCGGGGGCCCACCGGGAGCCATTCACCAGGCAGGGCGGCGGGCTCCTGGGGCCGTCCGGCGAGCCGTTGGGGTCCCAGGCTGAGCCGGTGCTGTGGTCACTCGGGCTCTGCTTTGCACCCGAACCACGGCCTGGTCCCACGGACTCACGGTCCCTCCGGGCAGCGGTGGCAAGGGGGATGGAGGGCCCACCGTGGGCGTCGACAGCACCATTCTGAGCAGACGGCCTCCCGGGAGGGCTGCGCCCCCGGCCCCGGGGCAGGGCTCCTGCCGCGGGTTCTGCTGGTTCCTCCCCGTGGGCTGGGGGAAGGCGACCGCCAGGGGCCGCGGCCTCCTCTGGACACGCGTGTGGCCCCGGGCGCGGACCGGGGGCCGTGGCGTCTCTCCCGGCGCGAGGCTGTCCACGAAGCTCGGGTGCCGCTCCCTCCCAGGGCTTCCCGGCTCCGCCCGGCCTCCCCGCGGCGGCCTGGGCTCTGGGGGGCCCCATGCGCTTGGCGATGGCGGAGGCCACGTACTGACTGGACGTCCTCCTCTGAGGCTTGAGGAACAGGACCTGGGAGGTGCTGGCTGCCGGGGCCTTCGTGTGACCAGTGGCTGCCGGAGGCGGCGGGTGGGCCCCGGGCTCGGGACAGCGCCCCTCTCCTTGGTGGGCAGCCGGCGGCTGGGGCGACGGCCCTGCAGGGCGCGGGGGGCCTGGCTCGGCCCCGAGGCCGCCTGCTGGATGCTGAGACGTGGCTGGCGTGGCGGGGGGCCGGCCCGAGAGCTGCTCCGTGGAGCCGGCCCTGGGGAACTCCCGGACGTGCCCAAGGGGCTGGGTTTCTTTCTCGAGCGCAGAGGAGGCCGGGGCCACGCTCCTGCCCCCGGTCCCGGGGGGACTCACCAGGTTGCCCAGCTCGTCGATCTTGATGGCGCCCGTGGAGAGCGACACCCCGGGGTCGTAGCACCGCCTCTCCGACTTCGGGGGGACGATCTTGTACGTGGTGAGGCCGTACTTCAGGCCGAAACTCCCGCCTGGGTTCTGGCCTCGCTGATACCAGGACAAAGGTGCCGAGACGCCCTTCCGGTCGTCGGCTTCCCTCGCCGTCCCCGGCCGACAGTCTGCGGGCTCGGTGGCCGGCGTCCGCCCGCTGGGACCGGCGCCGCGCCCCTGCCCCGGCTCCTTGGCGCTCCGGTCCTGCCTGGGAGGCTCCGTGTTCACGGGGTTCACATCTTCACGGGGGGCGGACGAGGCCCCCTGGACCTCCTTCCCGACGTCCTGGGGGGCGGCGGGTACACTGGGCCCCTCTGGCCCCCTCCTTCCCGGCGGCGGGGCCTCCACCTGGGCGGGCGGCGGGCGGGCCCACCTGCTGGCCCCGCTCCCCCGGTCGAAAGACCCGGCGTTGTTGTTTCTGTTGGAAAACAGCCCCGGCTCCACAGGGTCATCCAGGACCTCCCCGATGAAGGTCACGGGGATGGCGTCGGTGTCGCCCTCGGGGATGGCACCCTGCAGGCGGCGACCAGATGCACTGCTGAGGGAGCCGGTGACGGAGCTGCTGTCGGTCTCATAACTGTCGTCCATCCCTGCGAAGGAGTGCGCACAGGGTCACCGACCTCCCCACGCCCGGGACTCCCCGCGCCCGGGACCCCCCGCGCCCTGGACCCCCCCGCGCCCAGGATCTCCCATGCCCAGGACCTCGGTGCTCAGGATCTCCCTGCCCAGGACCTCCGTGCTCAGGATCCCCCGCGCCCAGGACCCCCCCGCGCCCAGGACCTCCCGCGCCCAGGACCTCCCGCGCCCAGGACCTCCCGTGCCCAGGACCCCCCGCACCCAGGACCTCCCGCGCCCAGGAACCCCCGTGCCCAGGACCCCCCATGCCCAGCCGTGATCAGGGTCCCAGGCTCCTGTGCGTGTAAGTTATTCACACGCATTTCAGTGTCACTGGGTTTGTCACCTACGCTTGCCGGGGGCCAGTCACAGCCTCCCTTCCCCCCGAGGAGCCCTGGCCGGACCAGGAGGCCTCAGCACGAGGCCTTGAGGCTCAGCCTTTGCTGACTGAACGGCCCTTCCTTCCGCAGGCGCCTCCCGTGGAGACATCACCCACGCGCGCCCCAGGAGGCAGCCTCAGCCAGTGCCGCGGGGTCGCGTCCGCGCAGCCCAGTCCTCACCTTCCAGGTCCTCGTCCAGGCCCGCCAGGGTCTGCTCCCACTGCCCGGCGATGAGCAGGCCCCCGTCCTCCCCGGGGGCTGCCGCGGCCCTCTCCGCCCTAGGGAAGAGCACAGAGAAGGAAGCGCCCGCGTTTCCCTCGGCTCTCATCTCATCCATCCTTTCTAGAAACATCCGAGGAAGGCCCAGCTCCAGCTCAAACCCGTGCCGTTCCCACTCCCTGCGGCCTACGGTCCTCGGAGCTGCTCCGACGCAGAAGGCGTGGGGTGCACGTGTGAGTGTGGCCCCCAAGGGTCAGCAGCTCCCTGACCACACCTGCTCCCGCCCACCCCGCCGTCCAAAGTCCACGCTGCACAGACACGCCGACCCGCCCCAGGCTGTGTGCTGACCTGCGCCGTGTTCACCACACCTGGCACCTGCCTGGGAGGGTGGTAAGGAGTCAGGCCACCTAGAGGCCAAGTTTGCCAAGGCACAGGGCGGCCGGGGCTGGGCCTCGTCACCCACCAGCCCCGCCACACAGCCAGGCGGTTCCTGAGCCCAGGAGGAGGCTCCCTCCGGCCCCAGAGCCTCGGGGTGGAGGCCACGGCGCAGGTCCCACACGGGGACAGGTGGCCCGCTGTGGCCCTTGCAGGCTTTCACTTGGCTTAATGAGCATCCTGGGCAGGTGGCAGAGGGACAGGGCTTGGAGGGCAGCGTAGGCCACCCACAGGCTGTGCATCCTGGGCCCTTCATCACGAAACAGAGGAACGATGAGGAGGGTCACAGCAGCGACAGGAGTAACAGCTCCCTCTCCGGCCCCACCCGGGGCCTCCTCCCCAACACCCCGCTGCAGATACTCAGGGACAACCAAGCATCTGGGGAATCAAGAGCTACCCTTGGACTTTCAACTGCAGGGGGGTTGGGCCCCGACCCTCTCTCGTGCAGGTCAAGGGCCAGCCGTCTCTTCCATGCAGCGGCGCAATGATCCAAGACAGCCCCTGCCCGTTGCCCCAGCGCAGACAGCGAGCCAGTCGCCTGCGGCCAGGGTGAGCTGCTGAGTTCAACCGGAACCTTCTGTCCGCCTTCAGAACTGTGTTCGCTTTGATTCAAAGCAGCTTGAGTGACAAGATGCTTTTTAAGTGGGTAGCATCTTAAATACCCTTTGACCCTCTAATGAGCAATCATTTTCTTTTGCAAAGTGGCAAGGCCAGCGGCCTGGGGGTGGAGGATCGGCCGTGGCTCGTGTTTCTGGGGGATGCCCGGCCCCCAGCTGGCTCTTCCTGGGGCCTGGCTGGGCCTCGGCTCCAGGCCCTGGACTCCGGCGTGAACAGATTACCCGGCAAAACCCAAAGCCAGTGCCAAAGCCCGTTTGGCTTTCCAACATGAAATGTCCGGAGGAAGGGATGGAGGGGCAGCTGCTTCTCCTTCCCCACCCCCCGCCAGCCGCTCTCCCAAGGGTTACTCAGTGCCTGCACCCTCCCCGCTTCGAAGACCGAGCGAGCGCTCTGTCCCTGGGCTGGAGGCGGCTGCCCTGGACGAGCAGCAGGGCCCGAGTTCGAGTCCAGAGGAGCGGACAGCCAGCAGGAGGCGCCGACTCATCTCAGCTCGAGGCAGCCCCGCCTTGCTCGCTCCGGCACCACGCCGCAGCCCGACACACCCCGGCCTCAGACGCGGTTCTTATTGACAGTTTGTTTTGGCTTAAGACCAAGGAAATAAAGAACAAACAGCCCAGACGCTTAGACTCCAGGCCGAGCATGCTGAACAAACATCACCAGCGGCATTTTCTCACACGGCGTGGCTGCCGAGCGTGGCGACAGTGAGGGCATCGCCGCATCCACGATGAGGGCAAAGGTCAACAACGGTGAGCTTCGAGCCAGAGTCTGCCCAGAGAGCGGAGCTGCCCACTCCCCCGGGGGCAGGGGCAGCGGGCACAGGGCGGGTGCCCCGAGGGGGCTCACCACTCGTGCTAACAAGAATGAGGGGCAGCCTGGCCGGCAGGCTCAGGGGTTGAGCATCAGCCTATGAACCAGGAGGTCAGGGTTTGATTCCCGGTCAGGGCGCAGGCCCGGTTGTGGGCTCGATCCCCCGTAGGGGGCGTGCAGGAGGCAGCCGATCCATGATTCTCTCTCATCACTGACGTTTTTCTCTCTCTCTCTCTCCCCCTCCCCCTTCCTCTCTGAAATCAATACAAATATATTAAATTAAAAAAGAAAAAAAAGAGGGGCCGCTGGGTCCAATCCGTGCCAGGAAACGGGTGCTTTTGGTTTGGTTTTCATACGATACGAGGAAGAAATGCAAAGCCCGGGCTAACTCTGACCCATCCGCCTCCTCGGCCATGTGCCTATCTGACGCGGCCAGAAAGGTTCATCTGAGTAACGGATCCCACAGTAGAACCACGAGGGAGAAAATAAGGAAGAGTTGGAGAGGAAGAAAACTCCCTTTCCCGTGGCAGAACAATTTGCAAAGGAGTGCCACGCTGCCCCGTCGACTTCACAACCGTTACCTGATAAACTGCAGGCACAGAGCCTGGGAAAGCGGACGGCCGATCGCGGCCACACACACCCACCTCCACTCCGTTAACTAACGCTCCCCTGTTCACCGGGCTCCCGAGTCCAGAGCGTCATCCTGGCTCTTCGTGCAGCCACAGCCGCACAGGCGAGGCCGTCGGTGGGGTGGACTCTAGTTAAATGCCTTCTTTAACTTTAATGAGTCTACTTCCTTAACCGAACTGTAACCCAGATTATTCTCATCATTTCTCCATGCAATAACCATGAAGTCACTTGATTTCCAGGCCACACTGGGAGCACGTCCACACCGACCGCAGAGCTCCCCGTGGGCCGGCCACTGGGCACCTGCTGGTGGCTAGAAGTGGCCGGTGGCTACAGTCCCAAACAGCTCAGTTCTCCCGGTCGTAAATGGTCTTTATAACGCAGTTACAAAGTTTCAGGTCTTAGAAGGTGTTAACATGTTCCTGAATGTTCCTGTGCTTCCAGAGTTCCTCTAGTTACAAAGCTGCAGGCTCCGGAGAGCATGAAATGTCTCTGGTCACAAGCGCCCGACCCACTCCGACCCAGCACAGCCCCACAGTCGGGCCCCCCCCCCGCCCCCCGGCTCACTGCCCTGGGCTGTGGATAGGGCCACAGAACACAAGTGTGGGATGCGCTAGGTTCATGGAGAAAGGGCGATCCTCTCCCCACGTGACTGACATGTGCTCGGTGCATGCTCTAACGGACAGTGGGAGGCTGATGGCGCACAGCAGAGCTTCCGGAGCAGTGCCGAGCAGGGCGTCGTGCTAACGGACGCCAGGGGCATCACGGCGTCTCCCCGAGAGGAAGACGGGGGGGGGCCCCACGTTCACTCGTGAAGAGATGCTGCCTCCAGAGCTACGTCACGGGGATACCCGAGCCACAGCATCCGCAGAAAGGTAAGTCCACGCCGTGGTTTTAAAGACCCTCTCTGTCACCTCGCTGACCAGGGAGAGATGACTGTTTCTAAAGTAACATCACAATTTTTAACAACAGTCAAGGTCTGTGAAAAGGCAGAGCTAGAAGAGGGGAACCACACTGACCTCCCAGGGGACCGGCGGCCCATTCTTCCCGGCCGGAGAATTAGAAACGGCGGCCGCGTGAAACGCCACGGCACCTGCGGGCTGGGCGTACCTGCCTGCTCGTCCCGCACGCTGCCCGGTGCCGGGAGCCGGTCCATGCTTGCTGTTTCAAGGGACCTGGCATATATGGCATACTGTTCTTAATATGTTTGCTCACCTTCTTGGCACTATGTGTTTTAACCAAGGTCACCTCTCTGAGAAAGGTTGTTTCCCCAGGTAGGGATTTTCCCCTGAAGTTAGGGAGGGAATAAAACCCCTCAACTAAGTGCCAGGCGGGTAATTAATCACTTTAACTACAAACAATCATGCTTAAGCTACATAATCTTTACTCCCTGGAATGGAGATAAGAAACGCCCTAACCTTTGTAATAGAGATTGATAGGATTGAATCAACTGGTATAAATACAGATGTAACAAGACAGCAAGACTCAGAACTTAGAATACAGAGCTTAGAAGACAGAACCTACACACAGAACTTAGAAGACAGAACCTACACAGAACCTACAGACAGAAGAACTTCGCTGGAGAGAACATGGCAAAAGATCCTGGACTGAACCTGACTACAGAAATTAGCAAGAGAACCTGACTAGAACCTGGTGACTGAACCTGGCTGGAGAACCTGGAGAACCTAGCAAGAGAACATGGACACAGAACCTGGCTGGAGATCCTAACCAGAACCTCACTGGAGATCCTGACCAGAATGTGGCTAGAGAACCTTGCTATGATGATCATCTGAATGCCCTCTCCGTGTCATTCCTTCTTCACTAACTCTGTCCACACCTTTGGGGACCCCTGGACCTGCTGGGGTTGGACCCCGGCAGCCCGGGCGCGGAGTGACCCCGCAGGGCGTGCAAACCAGATCATCATTTTGGAGAGTAATCCGTCAGCCGTCCCTGAGGTTAAGAGTGAGTTTCTTGCCCAGCCCGTGAGGCTCAGGGGTTGAGCGTCGACCTATGAACCAGGTCACGGTTCGATTCCCCGACAGGGCACATACCCAGGTTGTGGGCTCCATCCCCAGTGCGGGGCGTGCAGAGGGCAGCCGATCAATGATTCTCTCTCATCAGGGATGTTTCTTTGTCTCTCTCCCTCTCCCTTCCTCTCTGAAGTCAATAAAAACATGTTTTAAAAATGAGTTTTTCTGAGAGTCTAATCGTTTCTCTTCTAGAAAACGCTCTATGTGCAAACAGAGACCCACACACGCCTGGCTCATTATGTCCGGCCGTGGAATCCTCAACAACCTACGTGTCCTTTCATTCAAAAATGGGCAAATACATGCACTAACGACACATATCATCCTGGATAAATCTTGCACACAGGATGTTGTGGGGAATCGTACACTAAGAGAATGATAGTGCTGCCCGGCCGGCATGACTCAGCGGTTGAGCACTGACCTATGAACCTGGAGGTCACGGCTCGATCCCCAGTGTGGGGTGTGCAGGAGGCAGCCAATCCTGATCCATGATTCTCATCATTGATGTTTCTCTCTCTCTCCCTCTCCCTTCCTCTCTGATATCAATAATATATATATATATATTTATATACACACATTTCAAAGAAAGTGTTTATAAACGGGTATAAACTAACAAGACATCACCCCGTATGGTTACCAACGCAGGCCCATTTGGAGAGCGTGCAGACGTGGTTGTGGGTCAGGAGAGGGGGCCCTGGGGGTGGCACCTGGTGGGTACGAGACACTGAGGGAGTCTCGGCTGGGTCACTGTGGCCCATGACGTCTCCCCTGGACACTGGGGTGCCCTCCCTCCCCCGGCCACCCCCCCACTCACCTGGAATGCCAGTGCCCAAGGCCGCTTCTCTCCCACGCGGGGCTCTTGGGCGGACCCAGCTCCGGGGTCCCCGCCAGGTCCTGGTCGCTGCTGTCCTCCTGGTCGGTGGCCCACTTGTCCCGGGACTTGGTGCTGTCGTGCTGGGAGTCCAGGGAGACGATGTCCGAGGGTGAGCTCATCACCCCCGAGTCCTCCGTCGTGTCCTCGGATGCGAAACAGCTGCTCACGGACACGGTCTCCTCGGCCTCCGCGGGCACCGCAGGGACCCCGTCTGCGCAGGAGCCGCCGGGCCCCAGGGGCAGGCTCACTGCGGGAGTCAGGGCGGGGACACAGGCCATGTCAGCCGCACCTCCGTCCCCGCCACCCCGCCCCGCCCCGCCCCACGCGCCCACCACCCTGCCGGACTCAGCGGAAATGTGGGGGCTGGGGTGCGAGGATCTCACACACAGCTCCCCCCAGAAACCCGACGTGGGGGAGCCACAGGCGTGTGTGTGACCGAGAGCGAAATCCCCTTAAAATCAGGGCATCTTAACCCGCCCGGGATTCTGGTCCCGCCCGGGGGTGGCCGGACCCGGGCCCGCGAAGGCACTAGTGCCCAGCCTGGCCCTGCGCTGAATCGAAGCTGCTTGTCAAAGCAAGTAGGGTTTTAAAATCATAACAAACTGAGACCTAAGGAACGCGGGTGGGGACTTGCACAGCTACGCCGGGGCCTGTGGCCCGTGGCCCTGCCTCCCGTGGCCTCGGGCTGTGCCTGCGCCGTCACACGCGAGGCAGTGAGCTCTGGTCTCACAGGGATGATCTGAGGGGAGGACCTTCCGGTCCGAGGAGGCAGCAGTCTCCTGGCTGGGGCTGGGGGCCCTGAGGGGGTGGCTCCCGGCAGGGGGAGGGGTGACTCGCTGTCGCCGCCTCGTGCCTCTCACAGTGACACTAACGCCGGGGACACCGTGGCCACTCGGCACAGCCGCCGGGCCGCGGGAAGCACGCTGAGCTGCGCTGCGCTGAGCTGTGCGAGGTCATTTCTCTCGCTCCTGGGTCTGTAGGTCTGTGAGGAGGGAACCCTCTCTGACGCCGACGTCAGAAGGGCAGGCGCACTGAGCTGTTGTTTTTAAATTTAATGTAGAAGCAGCCCGGCCGGCGGGGCTCAGGGGTGGAGCATTGACCCATGAACCAGGAGGTCACGGTTCCATTCCCGGTCAGGGCACACGCCCGGGATGTGGGCTCCATCCCTAGTAGAGGGCAGCTCAGTGACTCTCTCTCATCATTAATGTTTCTATCTCTCTCTCCCTGTCCCTTCTCGCTCTCTCTGAAATCAATACAAATATCTTTTTAAAAAGACTTAATGTAGAAACAGTCAACACCTCCAGCCTAGGGGAGCACTGCCCGTGGTGGCCGGGAGAGGCTGTGGTCCGACCTGCCGTGTGGAGCAACCATCCCTCCAGGGGACGCCTAGATGCCAGAAAGGACAAAGGCCCCACACGCCCGCACTCGAGAGTCGGGGGACCCGGTGCAGCGGGGCCACTGCGACATCGGGGAGCGGGTGCGAGGGGGGGGGGCGGGTGCTGGGGGAGTGGGTGCTGGGGGGGCGGGTGCTGGGGGGCGGGTGCCGGGGGGGTGGGTGCCGGGTGCCGGTTCACTGGGACAGCGGGCGAGCGCAGAGAATGACAGGAAGGAGGGGAAGTGCAGTGCGTGCGGCCGGTGCACCAGGGACCCACAAGCACGCGAGCGCAGGACAGACGTTCCAGAGCAGCTCCCAGGCGGGCAGAGCGCACAAAGGAGGGCTGTTCCGAGTGCGCCAGGCAGGGCGTCCCAGCGCGAGCCGCCACAATGGGCCCTTTCTCCGCTTCCTTCCTGGCTTTTGTTGGAGGCTCTTCATCAGAGGGAGTCGGGGCGGCTGAGCATGAATAGCCCACCTCTTCGGAGGAGGCCGCGGGCAGCTGCCAGGCCTCGGAGGGAAGGGCCGCAGGGCCGCTCCAGCCGCGCTGCCCGATCGGCCTGAGACGCCGCCCGCCGCCCGGGACCCCGAGCCCGGCCTCCCTGTCCCTGGGGCTGAGAGGAGCGTGTTTCCTTCCAGGGAGTGTGAACGCCTGTCGAGGCTGCGGGTCACAGGGACCTGGACCCCAACCCGCAGAGCCTGGGGTGGCGGCCGGGCGGGTCTGGACCCTCCGTCTCGGCTTGTCCCAGACGGGTGGCCCCCAGCCCGCCAGTGTGAGCTCTATAGTCAGTGTGCACGTGCTCAGCCATGTCACACGCACAGGATCGGGGTGATCAGAGGCCCCCCCAGCCAGTTCTCCTTTCTCACGGGTAACCTCCCCCAGGGCTGCAGGACGCCAGCCTTGAGCCCACAGGACAGGCGCTCAGTGAGGGCCCACCTGGCGCCAGTGCCAGGGACTGGGAGCCGGTGCTGGGGGGATGGGTGCTGGGGGGAGTGGGTGCTGAGGGGAGTGGGTGCTGGAGGAACGGGTGCTGGGGGGATGGGTGCTGGGGGGGTGGATGCTGCGGGGAGTAGGTGCTGGGGGGAGCGGGTGCTGGGGGGAGCGGGTGCTGGAGGGAGTGGGTGCCTGGGGGAGTGGGTGCCTAGGGGAGCTGGTGCTGGGGGGTGCGGGTGCTGGGGGGTGGATGCTGGGGGGAGTGGGTGCCTGGGGGAGCTGGTGCTGGGGGGGCGGGTGCTGGGGGGGGGGTGGATGCCTGGGGAGCTGGTGCTGGGGGGAGTGGGTGCTGGGGGAGTGGGTGTGGGGGGGCAGGTGCTGGGGGGCAGGTGCTGGGGGGGCAGGTGCTGGGGGGACGGGTGCTGGGGGGGGCGGGTGCTGGGGGCGCTCACCTGAGGGAATGAGGGCAGGCACACAGGAATCGGAGGGACACGTGCCCTGGGAGCAGACCCACGGGTGCCATCTGCAGGGGCGGCGGGGACACGGGGAGGACGGGAGGGAGGGGCACGGGAGCCGGTGTGAGTTCCTGCCTCGCTGATTACTTGTATCAATGTCTGATATGTGAGACGGATGGACCAGCACGGAGGGTGAAGATCTAACATATAAAACATAGCTATAATATTTATGAAAAGATACAATACTAGCCCGGCCGGCGTGGCTCAGTGGTTGAGCATCGAACCACTGAGGTCAGGGTTCGATTCCTGATCAGGGCACATGCTGGGGTTGTGGGCCCAATCCCCTGTAGGGGGCGTGCAGGAGGCGGCCAATCCATGATTCACTGTCATCATTGATGGGTCTCCTTCTCCCTCTCCTTTCCTCTCTGAAATCAGTAATATATATATTATAGATCTTAGTTCCAAACGATTTTAGAAGTCACGGAAAGTAACGCCATCAAAAGTGAGCGGAAGAAAGCTAAGTGACAAGGATGCTTGCGTGCTGTGCTCTTCGAAAATACCCCCCTCCCCCCACCCCACCCCCAACTGCAGCAGCAAAGCCACGGCCAAGGCCACTGGGCCAGGCACAGGACAGAATTCCCGTGCGGGCACAGGACGAGGCCACCCGGAGCCCTCCTCGCCACGTGGCCGCCGTGGAAACCATCGTGCGGCTGCAGGAACCACAGGGCAGCCACCGTCGGCTGCCGCTTTCGGAACCGAATACAGAACTGTCCCAGCCTGGTCCCAGGTCCACAAACGGCACAGCCAGGAAACTCACCGTCTCAGGCAACCGCCCATCCGACTCACACTCACGGGCCCAACAGCTCCGTGTTCTTGGCCAGAAAGAACTCGCCTGAGCCAAGCCCACCGGCACCCGAAACAGCCTCAAAGGCGAGGCCCCGGCCCCGGCCTCAGTTTCCAGCATCTGCTCAGGGACTCGGCGGCACCCACCCCCTTGGGAGCCAGCGCCCACCCTGCCCTCCATCCCTATCGATGGCCACCCCCTCCGTCCCTCTGGGTTAGAGACACCCCAACCACCCCGGCACCATCCGAGACTTCCTGGGAGGAGTCTTGTGAGTTTTAGGATCAAGGGTTGAGTCCTCTCTCTCTCTCTCTCTCTCTCTCTCTCTCAGAAGGCCAGGAACACACCGGAAAGAGGAGTCGCAGCCCCGTGTTCAGTTTACGTTTGGTTGCTTTCCCCTCTAGTCTTTATTGTTCTAGGGCAGTGGTTCTCAACCTTCCTGATGCCGCGACCCTTTCATACAGCTCCTCATGCTGTGCTGACCCCCAACCATAACATTATTCTCGCTGCTGCTTCATCACTGTGATGTTGCTACTGTTATGAATCGTCATGTAAATATCTGATATGCAGGATGTATTTTCATTGTTACAGATTGAACACCATTAAAGCATAGTGATTAATCACAAAAACAATGTGTAATTATATATGTGTTTTCCAATGGTCTTAGGCGACCCCTGTGAAAGGGTCGTTCGACCCCCAAAGGGGTTGTGACCCACAGGTTGAGAACTGCTATTTTAGAGGCTTTTAGGACAAATATAAAATTTCTTTCCTTTCCTTTTTTTTTTTTAATCTTCCCCTGAGGATATTTTCCCATTGATTTCTAGAGAGAGTGGAAGGGAGGGAGGAAGACAGAGAGAAACATTGATGTGAGAGACACATGGATTGGCTGCCTCCTGCATGGGGCCGAGCCTGTAACCAAGACACATGACCTTGACTGGAATCGAACCAGGGACCCTTCCGTCCGTAGTCCGACACTCTGATCACCGAGCCACACCGGGTCGGGCTGGAATTTCTTAAACACGTGAAGCAGCCCAGACACTTGCCCTGTGACGGTTAGGGACGCCCTCTATACCCCGGTTTTCCTCCCACCTTCCTTCTGCACCAGTGTCAACCAGGGGCCGGTTCCCCGGGGCCTCGAGCGAGGCCCCCACAGCCTGGGCTTCCTCATCTGGAAGAGAAAGAACCGCATCCTCACGAGGTGGCCGAGCTCTGAGGACCCGGGGACCGCGCTGGGACCCACGGAGGCGGCTGCCGTCCTGACCTGTTACCCGTCTGCGGCAGGTGCCACTGTCCCCGGCACCGCCTCGCCCCAAACTGGGCAATCTCAGGGCAGGCGCCGGGGCCTGGGGTTCAGGGTCCGCAGTCTGTAGGCTCTGAAGCAGGATTTTTATATGTTGTCTCTCTCTCTCTCTCTCTCTCTCTCTCTCTCTCTCTCTCTCGCAGTAAATACTGGGTTCTTACCCCAAGTGCAGCTCACACACCACAGATTTGCCCTAAAGCCCAGCCTGGCGGGAGAACCCAGTGGTTGGGCGTCCACCTATGAACCAGGAGCTCATGGTTCGATTCCCGGTCGGGCACAGGCCCAGGTTGTGGGCTCGATCCACAGTGTGGGGCGTGTAGGAGACAGCCGGTCCATGATTCTCTC